AGAGAGCCCATGTTGCGATGCGTGAAAATTGAAACTGAGGTTGTGGCGTAGAAAAAACAGGTTATCCGTCAATGCCATTCAACTAGGCGCTCTCTATCTCATCGACCACAACGAATTTTTCAGCCGAAAATTTACCCAATCAAAGCTCCCCCCGTGTACTTTCCAAAGAGCCAATTTGATTGATTTAATTCTTATTTCTACAAATATCACGCAAAAATCACGCCAATGAGACGTTTTCGTTGACAGTTATCCCCGATCAGAGTGGTAACAGCTAACCTTCCCGTACGATGCGCCGGGGAAGAAACCGGATGTTTCGAGTAACCATCGCGATGCCGTTTTCCCCTGTTATCGGATAGTCAGGGTTGGAACTTCCCCCTCACGTGTCTGCCTCGGTCGCATGCTAACAATGGATTCGCATATCAAAGTGCATGGTGCGACTGTGATGTCCAGAGTTATTAACGATCTGGATGGCATTCTGATGTTGTTCTCCTGGAATGAATTTGCTGTGATGTTGGGATGTCCCAGTTCATCCGAGACCTATTTTATGTGCAGGCACCCTTGTGCAATAGTGCACAGAATTATAAGTTCTACGTCGGTAGTCGAGAGAACGACGCTGCGAAAAGCTTTGCGACTCAAGATATTGCAGAGTTGCAATAGTACGTGACCGCCGACGCAACGACGCGTGTCAACGTAGTCCGCGTAGTCACGATCCGCGTATGCACGAAACAGATTCGAAGCGTCGCAGGTGCCGCCGAGGACTAGACCGTAGTCGATCGTAACTCGGATGTGTCTGCCTGCCAGTGTGCTGGTCCAGGCCTGGTGCTAATCATGAGGTGCATAATGCTGCCGACCGCCGAGCGATACGTTTTGACTATCGTGTACTACTCTGTTCCAGGAAAAGAGGTCGGTTTGTTTATCTTGATTAAAGTATAGTTGACGGCTAGAAAATATCTTAAAGTTTGTATTGACCTTTGAGATTATATATTGCGCCACAAAAATATAATGACATTTTATTACATTCAAATGAGTACTCCTACTTGGGAATTCAAGCGTCGTTGAGGAATGCAAGTGCGTTCTCGTGCACGGTTGCATCGCATTTG